GTGTGAAGTCGACTTCACAAGACATCAAATGTGCGGCGGGCGGGTGGAAATTGCCTCTCGTGGCTCCTTTCTTCTAGTGCGGAGCAGCTTCCCGCTATCTCCCGACGGCCGCGGCGGGCGCAGGGGCTGATAATAGGGAAAAGCGGCTGTTCCGCTCCGAGCGGCAGCGGCCGGGATCTCATCTCCAGGCTCGCAGGCAATTTGCATTAATGTTTACTTAACTAACTGGGAGCCCCTTGCATCTCCATCGCCTCTGTGGCCGCAGCGGCTCTCGGGCCCGGCACAGCCCCGTTTCTGGGCTGCCTCCTTTGTGCTCCATGAGGCTCAAACCCCAATAAAAGGCTTGGCCAGGAGAATGGCCCCTTCTCCCAATTTACATGAAAAGATGTCCCGGATTTCTGCCCAGCCAGGAAGACGCGTTGTTCCCTGGCAGGATTTCAGTGGTGTCTCTGGCTAATTTGCAGGATTTTACATATCTAATATGTTGTCGCAAGTGCTTTTAAATCCCTATAATATTTAATTAGGAGGCAGCTTTTGGCATATTAGGCAAGAGTGGGACTCTCTAATTAGTTGGTGGTGATTTCATAGCCATGCGCAACACTGAGCTAGGGGAAAGCTGGTTGCAGGTGCCCTGGCCACTTCAGTGCCCTTTCAGAGCTGCTTGGGACGCTTCAGGGTCCGCATTTTCCTGTGCCAGGCTGGAGCAGGGCTCATCCCGGCGCGGCTCCTGCAAGCTCCCGTGGGGCTGCTGCACCTTCTTGGGCCCATGATGCACTTGTCTCCAGAAAAAAAAAGTTATTTTTATCTCAAAACTGAGCTGGAATCTGGCAAAATATGAATCATATGAGAGACGTGCTTGCATCCTGCAGCCTTTGAAGGCTCCCTGGGCGCCCTCTCCAGCAGCCTGCTCAGCTGCGGGCATCATCCCCTGCCGGAGCCGCAGGCGGGACCCCACTGCTAGGAGGTTTCATCCCCCCTTTAATCTTGGCAGTTGGAAGCCCGGGAGTCAGTAATGATGAGGGAGTGGCAGTGTCAGCGGGAAAGCAGCTTCAATCAGGCCTGCTCACAACAAGCCTGCCCGGCCCGCTCGCTCAGGGCAGGCGCGCTCGGCGGCGGCTGCTCCCGCTGAGCCCTAGAGCTCCTGCCCGTGCCGTGCTGGGGACCCGTGGTTGTGTAGCGGGGTCTTCGCTCTGCTGTCCTTGATGCATTTGCAGAACCGAAAGCTGCTCCAGGCTCCTAGGAGGCCCATGGGGCTGCTCCTGTGGAGGTGTCAGCAGAGAGGGTTTGGCAAGGAGTCTGGGAGATGCTTGAGGGATCTGCAGCATGGGAAGGATGGCGCCTAGCATGGGTGGTTTTCCTTGGGGGGTCTCTGGTGTGGTGCAGGTGATAGTGGCGAGGCTAGTGGTGTTGCTGCTCTTTGCATAAGGGCCAGCGCTTATGTCCAGCCTTGTGGGATGCTCCCCAAATGCTCTGCTTGTGCGTTCCACCCAGGAGGAGTGGGGACTTGCGGAGATGCTCGGCCTCCATGGGAAACGCAAGTCGTTGGCTTGGCCTCCTGGGAGATGCACAGCTTCCCAGTCCGTCATGGGGCTGTCACCAAGAGGTCACTCGGGGCACAGGGATAAGGTGGGCACCAGCCAGGTCACAGCCACCATGTCCAAACCTGACAGGAACTGCGTTTGGAACAGGGACAAGATGTGGATATGCATTATTAGCCCCAAAGGCCCCTTGGAGCAGCTTACAAAGGGGCATGGGTGAACAGCAGCACTTTGAGCTCTCTTGGGAGGCTTGGGGGTCTCCGTGAGACCCTGGTGTGCAGCGTGCAGGGGCGCTTCAATCTAGAGAAAGACATGAGGAGCAGAGAGACATGTTTCTGGTGTCTCATTTCTGTTTTCCGCCTGCACACAGGAGGACTCACCTCCCGAGCGTGCTGGGCTCGTGGGCGACAGCGTTTCGTAGCCGCGGGCGCTGCAGCTGTGTAAGGGCCTGGAGGCAGAGGCTTCTCCCGTCCCACGGTGTTTTTGTGCTCTCCAAAGAGCTCTTCTGCAGCGGGGGCATGGCGCAGACCCACTGGCCGCAGTGCAGTGAGGACAGACGTTCAAACCCCATTTGGCAGCACAGTGACCAGGGGTGTCTCTCCTACCCTTATCCCACCTCTGTAGATGCTGCTGGGTGCTTTCAGGCAGCCAGAATATGAGATACAGCCTCCACTGGGGCACAAGCTTTTGCCCATCCTGGCACCACGGCCGAGTGTGAGGAGCCTGAAGGACTTGCTCAGGCCAGGGCAGTAACTCAGCAGCTTTCTCCAGCTCCTGCAGAGTTCAGCGCCCCTTTCCGAGCATCCTGCAGACCAGCCGGAGCTTGCTATGGCCATCCCAGAGCCGGGACTGGGGCTAGGAGTTGCTAGACCCACGAAGCTGAGGGCTGAAGCAATCCTGTGCCCGTGCCATGTGCCCGTGCTGCAGGAGCTCGGCTGAGCGAGCCCCTTGGCAGCCTTGTGCCTTGGCTTGCCAGGCTGCACGGGAGCGGGAACAGCCGGGATGCAATTCTCGGCTTGGCTCAGCCTCATTCGCACCTCGGAGCAGTCCAGGAGGGCCGGCAGGGCTGGCTTCACACTTATTAGCAATTAAAAGCCTCAGAGCCGGCGAGTCAATTAGCTCAGAGCCCGGCAGTGCCGCAAACCCGGGGATGCGTCTGCTAACGAGAGCTGCAGCCAGCTCCCCGCCGGGCTCGGGGCTGCCTGGCAGAGGAGCTTTATTTGCTTTTTCATTTGCACCTTGGCTGAGTGTTGCCGCGCGGAGCCAGGGGCGGCTTTGCCGGCACCAGCCGCTGGGGCGCGGA